GGGGGAAAGGTGGGACGAAAATAAAGGAATGTGGGAGAAGTGGGCAGAACAACGGCGATTGTTATGTAGGACAGTGGCACAAAAAACGCAACATATTTAAGGGATAAATTATGACCAAAGATAAATTTCCGCACAAATGTTTTAAAAGTTCACTGAGCAACAAGACGGTATATGATCAGCCACGACTCCCTCACCTTATTTCTGGACATAAATCCGCTACTTTCTCAGTCAAGATAACAAGTTCACTGTACATGACGTCATTCAGGGCTGGATACGAGTTAGCGGCCATAACAACCTACACATGTCACGCAAGGAACAAAAACATTTGAGACCTGTGTCACGTTATACAAAACATTGTCACCAATAGAAGCGTAGAGGGGGATTCGTTATATCCTGAAAACGAGCTACAAAGAAACCAATTACACCACAAAGAGTGCTTTAAGTTTAGTTTTTAACTTTCTGCTTGGAAATGAGGATGTTTAGCTAAAAGAGAACAGAGTAAGTTAACTTCTGTCCATTTGTTCGCTGACACGGGTTTAAAGTCAAATCATCTGTTTAAGTAGTAGAGGTACCTTGGTCCCACGAGAAAGAAGTTCTCTGACAAATGGAAACATTCCTAAAATAATATCCACACCACTGTTATCCACGAATATGACAGCCAGTTTATGAGGCGGACCCTGTGAAGAAAAAACAGCAAATTTTAATTTTTTTAGTAGGAGAAAATATGTATGAGAAAATGGACGGACGAGCGTTAGCCTGCGAACAGGCTCCCAAGGAGCAGGCTAGACGAGCGTACGAACGAACTAAGTAACGAACGAACGAACGAGGAAAGGACGAGAGAACGAACAAACGAACGAACGAACGAACGAACAAATGAACGAGCGAACGAACGAACGAACGAACGAACGAGGAAAGCATGAAAGAACGAACAAAGGAACGAACGAACGAACGAACGAACGAATGAACAGACAAATGAACGAACGAACGAACAAACGAACAAATGAACGAACGAACGATGAACGAACGAACAAATGAACGAACAAATAAACGAACGAACGAATAAACGAACGAACGGACGAGAAAAGGACTAAAGAACGAACAAGCAAGCGATCGAAGGAATGAACGAACGAAGGGAAAAGAAGACTGACCTCTGAATAGAATGAAATAAAGAACTGACCTTTGACCTTTCAATCCAGGTATCAAGGTCATCTCTTAACCAAGGGCGAGCTGAAAGACCATGATAGAACAAAAATGTAAAGACTTACAAACTTTTTAAAACGTTTTTGAGGTATCAGCACAGACGTTAGCTCCTTGTTGGGTTTAAGAGTGCTCTGCTGTTCGTAACATTTACAAGAAATACCTAAAAATCCCTCTAAAATGCAATGTAAAGTACCAATCCTGAAATTCTTTGCCACGTATGCTGACAAATGCGAAAACTATTCAAGTTGAATTATAGAATAAAAGTGTGCAGCTTCACTTGTTTGCCTACCTTGTAATTTGTTCATGGCTGATTCGAAGTCAAGTTGACCTCCTTCCATGAGCCTGCAAAAAAGAAAAAGTAGCTTGAATGCAATGGAGAAAAGTAGCGCTGTGCACAAATATACCCGTACACCACTAGGAACAAGTTTAGCAATATTCCACAATTTGCAAGAACGAGAAACGACTTCCAGTAAGAAATGAAAGAGATTAGCTAAAAGCAGGAATTGATTTACTAGATAACAATTGTACATCTTACTTTGCAACCTCCTTTGCACCCCAATCAAAAACATTCCCCGCTATTATTCCTTCAATGAGAGCGTGCTGCCGTCGTTTCCATGGCAACGCGTCCAGTTCTTCGAGTCGCTTGGACAGCAGAAGAAGCGCAGCCTCGTTTTCCTCTTGCTTCACCTGAGGATTAAAAGGGCGAGAAAGTAGGCGCTCGCCAAAAATGGCGGGATAAAGAGAAGCTCGCACAGGACAGTTAAGAAATGTATTAAGATGTGCAACGAACGTGCAATGCCATTTTACTGTCCATGCTAAGTGCTATAACTGTTTAAGAAACGCCTGCATAATCTCGTAATCAATCAGATAACAGCTAATTCTTTTAAGCTCACCGAAAGCGAAACCAAAACTGAGTTGGATTTCACAGGCGCGTTTTTTCCCGCGCTTTTTATATGGCCATGTCATTTTTAGTGCTTTGGGCAACTTGATTTTACACAAACTAGTCTAAAACTGGCGACGACACTTCTGGAAAATGGCTTAAAATCGTTGAATGATAGAAAAAAACACAACCAAAATCAAAAAGGTAAACAAGGCGGATGGATGCACAAAACTGAATAAGATTGGAAAAGATTGCAAACATTGTAACTTACTTCAGCGTACGGGTCAGGAAAACTGAACTCGTTAAGATACTGCTCTCTAACGTCTAACAAACTCCGCACATTCAGAGTTCCATAGGCCCTGCGAGAATGAAAATCAACTGACAGCTAGTAGTGTGACAGAGGACATTTTTTAAATTCAGTTCGTTTGTCGGAGGCAAAATTACTCGGAGGATTCTATGAAATTTTCCCGAAGACCTGAAAGATTTCTCAAGTGGCACGAAGATTTCCGAGGATTCCCGTAGACGAGCTGAGAGATTCCAAAATGATTCGAGAATTTATCGAAAGTCACAATAAGTTTCACTGCATGTTTTTCATATACAGCTTTTCATATATATAGTCTCCTGAGAATTTCCGAAGATCGTCTGAACGAAGTTCTGGTCATACTGGTATCACCCCTGTTACGGTAAACGAGTGTTTGTATCCTTGGGAGTTCGACAAGCTGTTCCCTTTTTTCACAACATTACGTGATGCAGAACAAGCGACTTACGCCGGCTGTTGCTTGAGAACACTGAGGCGAAGTCGAAATTTGTTGCTAAACTTTTCTGCTCTTTCTTTGGCATCCGGGGCGTCTGGTTGGCTGGCAATTGCACGCTCAACCACCTGAAATAATGTACAAGTAGAGTTAAAGCCTGCATGGGCTTTTTCTACTTATAATTAGCCAGTGTATTCTTTTAATAGTTCTTTAACAACCCTAGAAGAATAGCAAAGCTTACTTTGTCTAATGCGTCCTCAAAGCATTTGAGCCAGTAATCTCTAGCCTCCGTGTCCACAGTAAGGTCTTGTGTATCAGGGAAATAGTCACTGTGAGAGGCGAGGAGAGGAAATGGTACCAGAGTGTGAGTGAATTGGTCCATCTCCAACACATCATACTGAAAAGAAACAGACAGTCAGTCAAGCCAGACAGTCACTCAAGCCAGACAGACAGACAGACAGACAGACAGACAACCTTTATTTAAAGCACGATTAAAAATTAAAGCTCCGGACAGCCGTGTACATTTAGCTTGCCTTAATTTGTCCATCTTACCAAAGCTCCGTCAGGTATCCGAGTATTGATCAAATCAGAGGAGCGTTTTGCAGATGACAGGCCTGAACTGCCAGCGTAGTTCTCCCGCCATGTTAAAACGTCGAGATTCCCTAATCTGAAGTCCACTGCAACAAGGAGAGTGAAATATTTTCAAAACGTGGACAATGTTGAAGGATTTGGGGTAATCCAAAAAGCAACCCTGAGAAAGTAGTTACCTCGAATGTACCATTTGAACTGGTTTGTAAATAAAATAATTGAAGTAACAAAGCAGATAAACCAAGCTTTGCCAAGCAGATGTGGTATTTGTTTTAGGATAAGCCTTACTCCAGACTCTAATGAAATGTAATGAATATAGTTATTCATTATAGTTATATATTATAGTTACTCTACGTTATTTTCAACAAGTTTTATCGTTTTAAACCAAGAGGGGATCTTCCGCGATGTTTTATAAAATAGAACGCGCTGCGTTAAGAAAGAGAGTAGAATTTTTTCTCTCACAGCAAGCCCGATGTGAAATATGTCAAACACAAAAGAATGGTTTTACCACATTTCCAAACACCGAGAAGAGAGTTGAAAATACGACGCGTAGCGGAGTATTTTTGACGAACGTTGAGGTGTTTGGAAATGTGGTCAAACACTGTCTCGAGTGTTTGATATATCTTCTCAATCGAAACTTAATTAAGGAGAAAACGGAGAAATAAAGGAGTCAACGAAATGATAAAAGAGATCGACGGTGAAGGACCTAAACATACCATCTTCCTCGACTCCTTTCAAAAATGCTCCTATGGCCCCCAGGTACCCTTCATGTCTAAGAAACAGTGCCTGCTGGCTTCCCTTAAAAGATTACACAGGAATTAGCAAAGAAAACGTTTTTAATCAAAAAAGCTCATAAACTATATCAATCTGTGGAGAAAACAAAGATTAGAATTGTACCACGATAGTACAAGTGACAAAGCCTAATTAAGAAAAATTTAATAACTGTCAACTATTTTCCTAACATAATGATCTCTTACATATACTGTGCATTAATTTTGTATTTCCTTTCCTAAAGCAGTTTCGTTAAACGGTGCTTGCAATTATTTTGTGCAAAAGCATTAGCTAGTGGGATTCGACTTGAAAGTTTTAATTGAACTAGACCAAGTGCCCAGCCCTGTAAAACTTACTAATCCAGGCGATTTCAATTCCACAACTGATTTTCAATTCAACTGCACACTTGAGCTGGCTAGATTTAAAATATGGTTTAGGGAATAGGGAACTGAGTACAGGCAATCTTTTAAACGGGAAGATGATCTTCCAAAGCGGTAAATCGTTTAAACGAAGAATCCTGTAAACTGATGTGAACCTTCAAAATGAGGAATCATTTGTCCGTTCTCTGTTTTAAAGTAGGCCTGCTGATTATTTGGTTTGAATTGAAGCAAAATTTTTTTTGAAATTAAAAAAGCAATCTCAACCTTAGTGTTACCATTTCCTTCAAATACAATTTGAAGTTCACATACCTTCGACCAGTAGTTTATACCAAAAGAAATAGCCCGCATTGTGACAGGGTTTCCTCTGATGAAATACCCGCTGAAATAGATTTTCTTCAGTCCGTTTAGTCTTGCATAAAGAGAGGCAATCTAATTAATAAGGAAAGATATGATCAGTCTTTTTAATTTGCCTCCTTGATAGCTGGTTTGAAATCTTCAGTGAAAATCTAACATTTCCTTCTCAGTCAAAACTTAATTAACTAACAAAACTTGTCAATCAGAGAGAGCAAAAGAACGAAAATTATCAACTTGGGATAACGTTACACTGTCCCCGACTTTTCTAAAACAATATTGTTGGGTAAAAAGCAGCCAAACTTGCGTTCAGTAAGTCCCAAAGATGCTCTGATCTACTATTTAGAAAGTCGAACGTAACAGCTCGCTGTCAGATTGCATTCATACTTTACAACAATTCCACAAACCTGCCCAATGTCGTTACAGATCATATGAAGAAGACTTTTTGCTATATCAGCTTCTGCGAACTGAGCAGCTGCGAGAAAAGAAAACAGTACATGTATAAGCAGGTTATTGCTTTTAGTACAGTCATGTTAGCACACGCTGTGTTCGGGCGATCGATTTTGTTTTGACTCTTCGTAAAACCCGTCGTCGCCAGATCCAAAGTGACCAAATCTGACCAATCATAACGAACATATGAAGGCAAAGAACCAATCAAAACTTGAAGCAAACACATGAGAGCCGTGCCGAGCGCGGGAAAATGGAAAATGGAAAAGGGAAAATGTGCGACCGCCCGGTGTCAAGGGCGGGAAAACACACGTAAGCCACATTATTATATAGCTAGCTCCGCGAGGGGGCAAGATGAATCAAATCCTGCGCTGTGATTGGCTACCCGCGCGGGCAAGATGGAGCTATCTTGCCCGCTCGGGACTACCCGCCGTGTCCCGCGAGAAAAATTTCCCCGAAAGCAATATAATAAATCCTTTATTGATCAAGCTTGTTCGGCCAAGATGGCTCGATATTCGCCTCGTTCTTTTTTTGCGAGTTTATGGACCGAGACGGAGTCCATAAACTCGCAAAAAAAGAACTTAGCCAATATCCAGCCATCTTGACCTCACACTTGGTCAATAACCCATATTTATCATTAGTTCTGTTTGACTCCTGATTGGTCGGAAAGGAGGATTTAATTTCGCCACACAATCGAGAAACGCTTTTAATTTACAAACAAGGAGGAATCCTCCGTAGGAAAAAAGATGGCGACTGGTACATTTACCCATAGTTCTTAACGCACGAAAAACGTAACAACGTTCATAAAAACCTACAGAAACGATACAAAATCTTAATGAACTTAGTACAGGAACAAATGTTGTAAAAGTTTGGCTTTCTTTGTGCCTTGAAGGCTCTGTTAGGTTCGCAAGGCATTGTGGTAAAATGTACAGCCGCCATCTTTTTTCCTACGGTGGATTCTGAGCACTGATTTTCACAAACCAGTATGTTGGTCGTCCCTGGGTGATCTCACAGTCTTTCCGAAGCTGCTGGCTGTCAAGTCTCCTGGAAGCTTCAAAGCATCGTACGCGCCGCCGTAGATGTCTTTTACCTTAAAATAAAATACTCCTTGATTACTCTCTCTTAATCAGCTTACAAAATTCCACCACTGCAAAGCTATACAACTTCCTTACCAGCATATCTACACTTTGGTGGTGACCTTTCGTTGCAAGCTCAAGCAACTCGTCGAAACCCTTCAATTTCAAAGTTCAAAACAAGAATTTATGAGCTCTCTGCCGTTACTAAATAAAATCTTAAAACTTAATATAAACTTCTATAAGTTAACTAACAAGTTTTTACGAGTAAAAATCGGAGCGGAGACTGCGAGCAATCTAGCGAAGGTCCCCGAGGGAATAACGAAAACGAACGAGCGGAGGCGCAGCTCTGTTCGTCTGCGCTCTTCACCGCGGATTTCCGGGCAAACTAGAGAAACTTCTTGCAATCTAAGATCCGGAGTACCACTTCCATGACCAATTGGAGGTTGATACTTGCTTAATACGTTAGTTAATTCAAAACTTCAATAAGTCAATAGCAGGTAACTTAACCGCTACAGCAAATTTGAAAAGCTACTATCTCAGTACCTTAGCACTTGTGAGGAGGGAACCCAGGCCCCAGAATGTTCCTCCACCCATGCTCGTGCCACCAACTCGTTCAAACTTGTTCTCGGATTCCACCTACAGATAATACGGGTCATGTAAGTAAAAGCAAAATTCTATTAACAAGTCTTCTGAACTATTTACATAGCTTTCAAAGAGCTAATCGTGGACTCAAAGACGTATTCTTGTAATTGTAAAAGTGAGACTAATTCTATGTTCTACAAATTGACAGCTGTTTCAATTGTTCCCTGAAACAAGACCACATTGTTGAAGCTGGGCCTTTTTTCATTACTACGAGATTGTCTTGCGCGGTCCTTTATACACCTTAGTATGACTTCTTGGGAAAGATCCTACAGTCTTCGTCTCAAACTCATTAATTTAAACTCATTAATTTAAACAAAGGAAATCATTACTGTGACGGTGTTTGGATATCTGGTCTTAATTAGCATAGATTTTAAGATTTTAATTCTCCATTTCCTCCTTAGGTTTAGTTTCGATTAAGAAGATATATCAAAGACTCAAGACAGTGTTTGACCACCTTTCTAAACACCACGAAGAGAGTTGAAAATATGACGCGCAGCGGAGAATTTTTGGAAATGTGGTCAAACACTGTCTTGAGTGTTTGATATATTACTGGAAGGCAAAATCTTTTCAATGTTATAAAAAAAAACCTCTTCACAGTTTCTGACGCTATTGGGGAGGTAAAGACAGTACAGCGATACTTACAGTATTTTTTACGGAAAAGTGGGACATTTGATGCTCAATGATTTGCGGCAATTTTAAATCCGAAATATTCTTGGATAACATACAAGTTAACAGTACGAGGTAAAACATTTCGTTGGTCAAATTCGAGGGACGGTGTCAGGAATTATCTTTTTTGTTTCCCAGGCAATAATCTTTTCATCGACTTTCTCACAGACTGCAATGTACAGTTTCCAGACAAATGCAGGGAAAGTATTCTATAAATCACATTTTGCGCTTCCTTAGGTCCTCTACATTTCTCAAATTGCATCAGTAAAATCTTTTGCATGATATCTCAAATTTTGTACTCATTTCATACATGTACGTGTTTCAGAATTTGAATTTCGCAAAAATTGTTGAGCAAAGCCCGGCGCTTTCCATTTAACCAAAAATTGCGAAAATTTCAAAATGGGTACCGTGCAAATGGTAAGAAAATTTCCTGAGAAAGTTTCCGGAAAATTCGGAAGTTTTTGAATTTCCGAAAAGCGAACCGCAAATTCCGGTAAGTAATGCCCCAAAATTTTGGTATACCTCGCAAGGTTGTCCTCTTTTCCGGAAATTCCAGAGAATGCTGTTCCATTCCACTGGAAATTTCCGGAACGTTTGGTCGCATGGAAAGAACCCTAGGGTTTCCAACTTTGCCTCATACGTTTACTGTGCTTTTCGCCCAGTCAAGATGGCGTTATCCTCGACCACCCAGGGGCTGCTAGTCGGGACAATGAGATATTTTCGGGCGAAAGTTTACTCTACCGCTCTTGAAGTTAACTTTCGCCCGAAAATATTGCATCGTCCCGACTAGCAGCCCCTGGGTCTCCGAGGATGAGATGGCGTCAGACACTGTTTAACGGTCTGTGTGCACGTTAATTACCTTGATCATACTGACTCCAGAGCCAATATTTACTATGAGGTAGGGAAATATTTCTGAATGATTAAGATCTTGGAAGACGTATGGAGGACTTTGCTCTTTATGAAATGCAAACACTTCATTAGAAATGTGTTTCAACAGAAAGTTTCCACCTCTGATGATGCATTCAATTTCATCTTCTTTGTCGACCCTGAGTTGAACAAAAATTAGCTTGTGTTTAGTTCACAGATTTATCCATCTGGTCATTCCTCTCTTTCTCACCCGTTCTCCATCCCTCCCTCTTCCTTTCCTCCCTTCCTCCCTCCCTAACTTCATTCCCCTCGTCCATCTGTTCGTTCATTCAAGCCATCTATTTATTCCTATTCCTCTGGCCCTTCCTCCATCTCCTCCTCTCGCCCATATGCCCATTCCAGTATTCCTCCCTTCATCCCTATCCCTTACTCTCCTACCCTCTCTTTTATCCATACCTCTATTCTCCTCTCAACCCATCCCTTCACCCTCCATCACTCTGTCCATCCATTCAACCATCCACTCCCTTTCTTCATTCCCTCTCTCCCTCCCTCCACTCTCCCCTTCCACTCCTTCTTTTCACTTGCACCCTCCACCCAAGCCTATCTTTTTCACTCCCTCCCTCCCTCTTTTCCCTCCCTCCATTTCCTCCCACCACTCCCACCCTCCTTTTCCTCCTAACACTCCTTCACTCCAATAATTTATTAATCTCCAGTCCCCCTCTCTCTGCCCCATCCTACCTATCTACCAACTCTCTCTCACTCTACATTCCCACCCTCCACTCCTTCCTCATACCCTTCACTAACTCCCTCCACTTCCTCCCTCCCTCCTCTCCATCCTTCCTCCACTTCCTCTTTCCTCCACTCACTCCTTCTTCCACTACCTCCACCACTCTCTCTCCTCCACTCCCTCCTTCCCTCCACGCACTGCTCTCTCCCTGTACTCCTTTCATCCACTCCCTCCATGCCTGTCTCTGTCCACTCCCTTCCCACTTCCCTTCATTCCCTCACTATCCATTCCTTCCTCCTGCCCTTTCTACCTCCTTCTTTCTTTCCTTTGTTAATCTATTTTGCTGTCTACCTTCGAGCTGTACACTGTATACAGTATATCTACTAATCTAAAATAATAAAAAAATTCTTCTATGGTACCTGACACCAAGTTTACTTGTAAGTAAATCCATGTATTTGTGTGCTCCACCACCTTTTAAAGAAAATAAATGTGCTTACTAAAAAATAGTGGGCCTGGGGTCTTGAAAAATGAAAACAACTAAAGGTGATTTCCGCAGAACATTTGAGTGAGAATGGCAAAAAATTAAGTAACCAAAAAATACTCATGGCATGGTAATATTTGGAATATAGTTAAGAAGAACTTATTGAGACTTAAGCTCTCAAGCTGACCCTGCAACAGAAAATTAAACTTGAAGTTATCCATATTTCAATCAAAACAGATGTTTCGCATTAGAAAACACAATAGCACAGTCGTGCTTTAAGCATTTTTACGAGGTTTGATTTTAACTTTCTTGACAATGCTTCAGAATTCAATCGTGGGGCCACTTAGAGAAATGAACTTAATTAAGTGAGCTGTTTTAAATAGTATTCCAAAAGTTGCTGTGCTATGAGTAAATTTTTAGTAAATAATTTTCGTACTTATTGCTCAAACTTTGAGCAGAATTCATCTTAATATCTTAAAGATTGAAGTTATGACAAGAGAGGACACTCTGGGCTTGAAATAACTGCCTTTCGTTTCCTTTCTGAGAGTTTTGGAGCATTCAGTTTGTATCAAAAATTCAAGTGATGGTCTAAAAAAGACCATAGGCATATGGGCACTTTCGCGCTTGGGGGGCAGTGACCTCTTGCCCTAAAAATCTATGCAATGCCCAAATGCGTGATTGTTGAAATCAGGATGCAAATGCACTCAAATTGCATGAAAAACAAAAACGTTCACAATTCCCACATCTAATGAAACTGCTATACCATGTTCCATGAAATTTTTGCGGGATTTTAATTTTGCAAATTTCGGAGTTTTTGAGTTTTTCGCAGTAACAAATTTTCGCAAATTTGGATTTCAGACTTCACTCTCACTAGGAGTAAAGTCTGAAATCCAAATTTGCGAAATCCCTGAAAATTATTCCTAGGACCAAGGAATAATTTTCACAGATTTCATGTACAGTACTTGAAAGTAACAAAAACAGAAGCCATATGGTCGTTTTGGTTACACTGTTTGCAACCAATTTCATTGAAATTCAGCAATGTAAATAAAAGGAGTAAATTTTTGCGGGATTTTTTTGGGCGGGAGTTTGTTTTCATGGGATTTAATTTTTGCAGATCAACAAAAAATCCACGAAATTCACAAAAATTGGATCCTACAAAAATTTTATGCCACATGGTAATTCCAAAAATAGTTATATTCAAAGCTTGCATGTATACTCAATCAATCATACTCTAACAACAGTCTCAATCCAAATAAAAGCAAAACCTTATTAAAAGTTAAAGTTCTAAAAAAAGCAACTAACTAGAAACTTTATTTGTGAGTTTTGGAAATCACGCCAACCGCATTATTTTGCATTGTTTTCTCACAAGTGTCCATGCCCAAATCATGAGCATTTTGCCTGAAAAATGACATAATTTCTGTAGCTGGGGGGGCTGCAGACCCCCTCACCCCCCCCCTCCAGCTCTCACGCCTATGTGTTTTACAGTATCTAGCATTTTGAAGTGCAGATTTAAGATCATTATGGTTAAAACAAAGCCATCTAACTAATAAATATGTTTATCGAGGAGGCAACACGTGAATGAAATCCCAATTCATGCTGCCAGATCCAAAATAGTAAACTGTATTTTCAGGGCAATCAAATGTATCTACGTAGCGAATCAAGACAGCCTACCTGTGGCTTTGAGTGCTCTGTCTTTGTATGTCGCCGATAAGATGTTTTCTTGGATGAAATTGACGCACATTTCAATGTACTTTGTTTCAAACTTGATGAAGTGCAATCTTATACTGGGTTCTTGATCTTCCTTGATCTCATAGATATGACCAGGCTAAAAACATAACATGCGTCAATTTGTTAGTTGCAAATTTGTTTTGGACTAGATACAGTGAGTGGAGGCACAGTTGCATCGTAGTCAATGTGCTCGCCTCTGGATCAAGCGGTCTGGTTCAAGCCCTGGCTGGGGAGATTGTATCGTGCAGTTCCAGAAAACATCCATATNCCCCCCACAGAAGGAATTGGAATTTCCTGTGGGGTGGGGGTCTCTGTAAGACCAAAACCTTTTAAGAAATGTATGAAACATAATTGGAATTTCCAGAGGGGTGAGGGGTTCTTAGGAAAAAATACCTTCCGTGGGAGAGGTATGGATCTTTTCTGGAATTACATATTGTGTTCTTGGGCAAGATGCTTTACTCTCAAAGTGCCTCTCTCCACCTAGGGGTATAAAAAAGTAACAGCAAATTTAATGAAGAAGACAGGCATCCTAAAATTAATGAAATTTCAAAGTTTATACCACTTTCTCATGATCTTCATCATCACTCTTGCTCGAAGAAGAGCTGTAATGCCGCTTTCTAATGTTTCTCACTTCAGACATGTACGCCACCTTAGCCAAAGATCCACCTGTGAAGATGAAATTGTGACAACTATGAACCAGTACCAGTGATGGATCTACCCTATCCCGCTACCTCTCTTCCCCCAGAACTGGCCACTGAGTACTGTTTACAAATATTTCAGCATATGAAGTCAGTGTCCATGTCAGTGTGACCTATTCATTCTTAGATGAAAAGCTGGAGCTGGCTAGATGATCACTAACAGTTTATTCGTTCTTGCTGCTCCATATTTATGGAATAGTTTGCCAGCTGAATTACGTGATATTCAGTCATTAGCTACTTTTAAATGTAAGCTGAAAACTTACTTATTTCGTATAGCTTTTTAAGTGTATCTTGCTTGATATTCACTCTTATTAGTATTACTAATTAAGTTTATTATTGCAAATATTCTATTTTATTAATATACATGTAATTAGTTTTACAAGTTTGAATTTTATTGTAGTAATTTATTGTGGGCTGCAGCAGCAGCTGTGGCCAAGAATAGGGACAGATGGTGAGCATTCATCTCCGGCCCTATCCCCCACTCGGGGGCAAGAAACTAAGCTAATTTAAGTTGTAAAGCGCTGTTGATCAGTAAATGTAAATAGCACTCTAGAAGTTATTAAATTATTATTATTATTATTATTATTATTATTATTATCATTATTATAATTTATTGAAAATAGTTCTGATAAAGACAAAAACTAGAGCTAAGCTTTATTATTATTATCATTATTATAATTATATTTTGAGAAAAATTAACAGCACTTACCAATATCGACAGCGAATACCTTAGCATTTTTCAAGTTTCGAAACACCTCAGGCAAAGAAATGCTTTTTGCATAACCCGGTGTACTTCCTTGTGGAGCTTTGGAGTCCATAATCGTGTCTCAAGATGTGATCGTCACGTGCAAAACTTACGTAAGATCTTTGAAGAATCTCGTTCAAAACATCACTATTCCATCCGCCATATTGAATAATAATGTGAGCCAGCAAGTTGCCAGCAGTACAGCAGTTCGGCTCCAGACTTCTCCTCTCCTGAGATTCTCCATGTGCTTGGATCGGAAGTTTTCCAACGTTTTCAAACGTTTGTTTGTGCTGGCGGTCTTAAAACAAAACGCAAAATGAAAGCAGTGTGTTTGTAATAACTGACGTGGCAGTTTTTATTCTCCTGATTGCATTTTCTTCTCTAAGTACCTGGAGATTTATAGAGAGCAAAGCACGTGTTGGAACTTTACCAGCGTTATTTTGAGAATACGTAGAGATCTTGGCGAGCAAGATGGTTATAATGACATCATTTCCTCCGCCTACTGAGGGTTTGCATCATGTCCAAGAGAAAACGGAAGCTTTTGTCCACGATAAATCATACGGAGTGGGAACTTTATACATAGCATCTGAGTAAGCCATTAAGATAAATTAAAATTTTGGGTCCAGATTTATTTTGATAGTGATGATGATGACGATGAAAATGATGGTTGACACGTAAATCATTGGCAATGACAATTATGACAACAATTAACTGAGGCTCTTCATGGTTTAATTTCTAGTCAAGGCGATAAGTAAATATCAATAATTGGGTCATGTGTACTAAAGGCATCCACAATCCCGTGTCAATCAATGCCCTTGATTGACATCTTGATGGGTACTTGATTGACATCCCTCTTGATACACTCGTTCAACACTTGTTCAACAGTCGGCCGATAGTTGGTCAAGTGTCAGCTGACTCATGTGCATCGATCGGAAATTAGGCAACTGTTGACCAAGATGTCAATGGAGTGTCAATAGAGTGTCATCTGAGGTGTGGATGGAGTGTCAATCAAGTATCAGTCGAGGGTCGATCGACAGTATTGATCGAGGGTATCAATAGACATTGGACCACGGATGTCTTTAGTATACATGATCCAAATAATTTAAGTCAGTTTATCAGCTGGTAGATGCTGAAAATATTTTTAATACTTTTGTTTGCAGGAGACTGTCTTGGTGTGACTCATCTGGGCAAGGCTTCTCACTGGAATATCCATCAATATCTTTACATGCCATCTGCAAGGACACTTCACAGTTTCCTCACGAATGTATCTACTGTATGATGGAGTCATCTTTAAATGGTATATTCATTAAGAAATAGAAACATTTTCCGTGTTTCTATCAAGTTATAGAAACACAAATGGAAGTTTAGGAGAACGGGAATGTTGTGGGAACACAAGCCAATAGGAGAATGTGTTCACAGCTTTTTTGAGTTATCCCAAATTTTCACAAGTGTTTCTATAACTCAATAGAGACACAAAGAAAGATGTCTTCCATCTTTTTTTTAGAAAACATCCCAACGAAAATAACAAACAACATGACTATGGATTATTGAGTTCAATATTATTAGTACTTACGTATAGCATAATATTAGGTAATGTGAACTACTGTAGACAACTACAAAAACCTTTCTTTTAGATGATGAGAATGATGTTGCAAGTGATGACAGTGACGACAAAGTTGGAGAAGTTAGATTTGTTCCTGAGGACAAGTCAGCATGTAAGATACAAAAATTTGATTTGAATCATGAAGAAACTTGAAATAATTCTGATTTAAATCAGTGACCAAATGATGATACTAATGAGTGTATATAGACTTTGAATCCAGGAATTCAAAAGAAGAATTACCAGAATGGTGAAGTTAGCCCTAAGAACTTTTAGATTAGCACACATGTATATTTGCTTGAATTAATATATTAAACATGAGAGATAGTGTTTGACCACATTTCCAAATTAAACACTGGGAAGCAAGTTGAAAATATGACACATAGTAGAGAATTATTGATGAGCTTCAAGGTGTTTGGTAATGTGGTCAAAAACTTTTCTTGTTTCAATTGAAAGTGATAAAACCATAAACTTAGGAGAAAACAGAGCGATAAAATCGAAAAAATCTATACTCAAGATCAGATATCCAAAGACCCCCATGGTCATGATTTCCTTTGTCTAACCTTGGTGACTTTTTGATGAGTTTGAGAAGTTGTAGATGAATGCCTTCCAATCTAACTAACCCTCAAATCTCTCTCTTTTTCAAGTGGATGTCATGTTTAAAGCTCTGTCAGAGTGTCAGGTCCTTCACCCAGACCCTCAAGAACAAGGTTTGTGGGTAGTACATTACCTTATTATAGGAAATTAATGCCCGTGTTAATTAATGTATTTGAAATTAAAGCAACTTAAATTAATGCAAATAGAAGATAAATTTACTGCACACAAAGAAAAAATAAAATCTCTGACGTGTGTAAAGGAAATTAACATGAGAGAGCGGTAAAATTTCAAAATGAGGGAAATTAACGCGTCTGCTACACCAAAAAAAAAAAACCAAGAAAAAAAACAGAATTTGCTGCGAACAGGAACCAAGTTATTTTGATACTGTAAAGCTGACAGCAAACATGAAAATTCAGTTGAAGTTCAGTGAACGATGTACTAATGTGAAAGATTGATGTGAAATGTAAAGTGCACGTATAAAATTTATTGTTTGGCTGTGTCAAGAATGTCTGGAGCGTGTCACAGATTTGGGTGAAAATAATGGTAATTTATGTCACGAAATTAACGCGCAACTTAATTAACAGCGTGGAAATTAACGTGAATTTCAAAAATTTGTGTTAATTTCATGAAGCGTTAATTTCCTATAATTAAGGTATGTGGAGCAATTTTTAATTATTAATTTTAAAAGTGTACGTTAGATCTGGTTTTGGTAACCGTGGTTGTACTCAGTTAAATTTAGCATACACTCTGCAATGTAATCAAAATTAAAATTTTGATTAGCCAAACTGAGTTTTACACACTCAAGTACTGATTAACTGCAGCTACAACATGAAGTCTTAATAACAGTAAAAATAATGTCCTTATGTCATGATGACTCTGGCAAGCATGCATGCATACTAACCCCCTTTGTTTAGTTTATTAATTTTAATTTGTTAATTTTGTTTTCCCTTTGATCAAGTTTTATTTATCAAGTTCATTTATTTTTAACTTCTTACATTGCTGTTATTTTTGTGGTTTTAGAGGAAGAAGAAGACTTTTTCTGTGACGCAGATGAAGGAGAGCTGTCAGAACAAGGACAGGTATCTTAATTTACATTCTTAAAGTTCCAACTCGAAACCCAAAATACATGCACTATTAAGAGGGGGAGGGGCAGGAGCAATTTTTATTGCACTTCCGAGGGTGGGAGGGGCTGGCAACCTAATTGAGTCTTTATTATGGAATTTTAAGCCTTAGGATTTTACAGTTGTAGTAATCATTAACATTTCTGGTGCTGTGTCATTACTGTGATTCAGAAATAACGGAATCAAAAAATTGTTTGCCACGGACATCTTCAGCTTTGTTAATATTTGTTTGATGAAAGTTTTTTCATTTTGATCCTCAACAAGTAGAACAATTCCTTTATTCATGTCTAAATCAAGCTTTGAATTTGTACTTTTGTTTTTGTACAATTTTCTGTCTTGAATTTAATGATTTTCATCATGATTGATTAATTTTTCAGGCAACACTTGAAAGACTGGAAGGTATCATGCAAATGCCGAGTCAGGAAGAATTTGTGGAAATGACATCAGGAAGGAATGGACACTACATTAACGGTCACAGCAGTGTACCAGGTACATGTAGTTTAGAGGTTTTTTTTGTATATTTACTAAATGGAATTTTAATATTTCTTTTAACCAGAGACATTAAAAGGCCCAAGTCAGTCACACATTTGTTTTTGTTTACATGTGAGAGTTTGGCTATTATGTATTATTTTATTCGGAGCTTGTCGAAACAAAGGAAATCACTGTGAAACTACTAAAGATAATCAAACATACTCTCAGGAACACAACTTATGATTTCGTTTCACCATGCAATATCAATGGTTTCGATGGCTTAAAAAATGGGGGAAGCTGACTAAGGTCCTTTAAACTGAAGTCTCTAAATGGATCTTCTTTGTTGCATGTTTGTTGTCATCGTTTTTTTTTTTTTCCACTTCGGAAATCTAGGATTTTGTTATTTTACACATGTATGTGTGAAGATAAACAAACTCTTATGTGGGAGATGTGGTTCAGGTGGTCCCTATAAATAGCTGAGGTTTCAACTCAAACTGGAAGTTAAATCCAGGCAATAGAAGGGCTAACTTTCCTTTGTAGCTGTCATAACATGATATGTTCAAACTGAAGTCAGATTATTTCCTTATAATTAGTGATGATCTTTTCCAAGGAAATTTAATTATATAACTTTTGTTAGCAAGCTGGTATTATATTTTGTAAAGTACACTTCCAAATATGACACAATATGTTTGTTTCATAATATTTTAGCTGATGCCGAGATGGAACATAGTGGTGCAGATCAAGAACAATTTGAAGATGCTGACAAATGACACCATATTATCATATTACATGACAGCATTTCACTATCACACAAAAGCATGCAGAAGACATTTTTGTCAATCAAAATAGATGGAAGATTGATTTGTGATGCTTGACTTCATTTTGCTTCAAACATTTTAGGTTCTATCCCTGAAGGGTAGAAACAACTGTACAATATTAAAGACTCCATGTTTGGCATCTCCCAGGTATTACTTTTTCTCAGTGTGTCAAGCTGTTCGTGTACAATGTAGGTCTAACAAGGCCATTTGTTTCTTCTTAAGATGTCCAGATAAAAATCATCAGCTATTGTTTAAGTTGTCTTGTTGTACCTCAGAATTCTTACAGCTACCATTGAAAGACCTGTGGGGCAATAACCAATGAGAGTTTGTATTTTGAACTTACAACTTAAAGGTTCATGTCTTCCCTAAAGCCATTTATCTTGTAGCAATGTTGTTATTGAGGTAATGATGTACTTACTGGACTTACCAAGTAAATAGAAGTGGTTCATCATTTAACATAAAATAACACTGATCTCCTTTGTCTTTAAAGTGTTATACAGACTTGTCCAAAACAGGTAGTCAGCGTTTTCAGAATAAAAACTTAGTATCCTTTAATTGTAATGTGTTTTGGTAATTGTGTAGAGTTGTGCTGACATTTGAACAATTAGAGTAAATGAGCCTCTGGTAGCGTGAGGAGCAAATGGGAGAAAAAGAACAGGTGCACACCATCAGCTTTTTATTTCTCTCTCCTTCATCACTTTTTTTTTTTGCCATAACACCCTGGGGGTAGTGGGCCAGTCTCTCCTCCATCTCCCACAATTTATCTTGAAACTGAGGGTATTTATGCCAGTACATTTTATAAAACAAGTCTGTGAAGAGGACCCAGTTAGAGCTGTAAACATTCATTTCTTTGGAGGTTATCAACAAAAAATAAACTGATCGATACACTCACTTGCTTATAACTTTTATGTAGAAAAATGAAATGGCTGTGGACAGACTGCATCCCAGAAGAACACCCCAAGGGGGACTACCATATAAAAGGGACGGGGCTGCCCGTCAGAAATTTTGAAAAGAACTTCTAAGAGGTACCAAGATCCTGTTTTGTGGGTGTGGCTTGATATGTTTTTCACCCCAAAGAAGTACCCATTCTAAAACAGTGCAATATCTTCTGTCATATTTTGTTTCGGCTCAATACCCTTAAAAATACTACAAAAGCTCTCGCTGTGGACCCTGTAAAGAAGTTTTATAACCACTTTTTTAACTCCTAAAAGGTACCACAAGCACCCCCGTCCTTTTCATATGGGAGCCCCACCCCCCACTCCCTGGGAGCAGAACTCCTCACCTTATGGATATTCTCTCTCTTCTTCCTGAACCCAGCTCGTACCATAGATGATATACCCTCCCCAACTACGAAAAGAATTAACAAGCTTCTCAAAGCTGTTACTACACTTTACAAAGGGCCCCTTCATTAAACCTTTTTTAATGCTAAAAAGGCTTTTTTCACGTTACTTCTGGGTAAACTTCCATTGATAGTTTATAGTTTTCTGAAGGGGAAATCTCCGTAGAATTCAAGTGAACTGGCAAGAAATGATCACCGTACTCTTGACCACTGATCACGGAAAAGGTCCATTCCCAGATCACTTCCGGTAAAGTTATTCCTTTCTTTAGCCGCAATGACGACATTTCCGGTAATTTGAACAGAAAACAAAATCGCAGAGCAGTCCGCCTGCTGGCTCATTTTCAAGATTCCCTTTACTTTGATGCCGTTCTATTGCTGTCAGAGCTTGCTGGTGGCGGCGGATCGGGAGGCCGAAGATATGAACTACTACAGAAATGCTAACAAAGATGTAGTCCCGAGAAACGGCTACAGACATCGTATAGTTAGCAAGGACATGGCCTTTTATTGCTTCGATATCTTAGAGAGCCATTTATATCGGCTTCAAGAGCCGCCTTGGCCAAATTTCCCCAATGAAGAATTGTAAGTATGAAGCGAATTTCTTCAGTTGCTTCGCCTGAAGGTAACGATAGCATTGCTTCGCTTTGCTGCCGTTAATTTGTGGTCCTTCGAGAGGCGATTTATAAGGAAAACACCCGTTTTCCTTCTCAGAGGTTTCTTGTTTCCTGACAACAAAAGATTGTAAAGCAACACCGTTTGCGGAACGAGAATGAGCTTGTTTTGGTGGTCAATTCTAACGTTCGCACTCCTAGGTTCGAATCCACGAAGCTATCTTACCATCTAGGCGAAATGAGATTGATTTATGGCCTTGAAAAGGTGGCAGTGTTTTGCATATATGTCTTACAGCGAAGCTTCATGTAAATTAGTCCACCAATTCTGGCATTGTTTTTGTTTGAGCTCCCATGATTATATCACGCTTTTGACATTTACCTGTAAAATTTTCCCAGGAATGGTCCTGCATTATATTGTACAAACTTCCCTCAGAGCTTAATCTCATACGATCATTTCTGCTTTCAGCTCACTTGTCTCAAGAGGACCAAATCTTATTTGTCCGTTTAACTGCTTTCTACATGCATTTTTCTCATCAAGTTTCGTGTTAACAGCTTTAGTTTACTCAGGCTTGTTAAACTTAACTTAATTTTTTTCACCCCGGCATCTGAGTTCTCACCGTTTTTGTTCTATAGTAACACAAACCCCAGCGAAATTTTGTTGCCCAGAAAGTTGGTTTTTGAAAAATCCAATTTTTTTTTTACTGCTATGATAGCCCCTTTAAATGTATAGCTTCAGGCATAAAAAATGTCTTAGTCGTTTATTATACGGAGTACCTAAAGCAAATAACTATTAAAAAAAAAAAATCAATCTGTTTGCTATTTTGGGAAAGAAAAATGTAAATCCTGTGTACTGTTACCATGGCACTCCTTTTGAAAGACTTATTTTTTACGCATAATTATTTCTCTGAATATTTCTTTTTTGCCTTCAAATACACATATTAGAAAAAAATATTGATTTTTCTGTCCAAAATGGTACTACTATCAATAGTTTTGCATCATCCAGTAAACAGAGCAAGGAAACTGAACTATTTTTGCTTGAAACCCTTTTTCTGTTTTGTCAAACTTGGGGAAAATATTTTGCGTGATCAGCATGCCATTGTTTTCTTTGGCCTTTTCGTCATTGTGGTATTATTTTCAACCATCCTGTAATGTATAATTATGTTACATTGTATGTATTAACCCTATGTTTTGAAAACATCAACTTGATATTTCAGTCATTCTTTTCATCGAATGGCTGAAAATAACGCATCATATTCACAAATTGTGAAGTTATTTTCTCAAAATCACCTTATTTCACCTCATTTAGCTACATGTTTGCCCACAACCAATAACAGTTTTTCTGGAATGAATATTCTTGTAAATAATTAGTTTCAAAGTCCAGAAATCTTTAAAATTAAAACATTCTCAGTGTCTAGACTTACATTCACATGTAAGAGATGGAATGGATTGTAAGCTTGCCTTTAGATGTAACGTACAGCTTCTTTTTTATCATCTTAACTTATGTACGTTACTGTACAAAAATGTTCTCATATATAATCTTTTTGTAAAAAAAAAAATACCTAAATAGACTTCTGGGTAGTATATTATGATAAAAGTATTTTATTAAGTTCCTGTCCTTGTTTTTAAGGTCTATTTTTTTTTAAAAAAATTAAAACTTAAAAAAAAAATCTCTCTTAAGAGATTGATAAAATTTCATTTTCAAGTAATTTTTCCTATCTGTAGCAAGAAGGATAAATTCTACTTGTATGAGTACACAGCTGTCAAAGAGTTACGTCTTTGTTAGTTTCAATTCAGTTAAAACACTCAATAATATTTTGAAATGTGCATTTACAGCTGTTATAAATTGGCAAGACAAGCACATTCATGAGAACCAAGAAAAAATCTTTACACAAGCTTGTTTCCTCAAAGACAGAGAGCTCTGTGTTTTATATGTACATGTACATTTAATTATAATTCTTGTGGTCAAAATTCCAATTCAACTGTTTTACATTCAAAGATGCATTGTGAGTTTTGCTACAGTTAAAGGTTGGTTTGCAAATGGTTTTAATAGTGAAGAATAAAAACATATGGTCATAAGAAAAAAAAAACATAACAATTAAAGCTACATGTAAAAGACACGTTCAATTTTAAAACTGAATATACATATACAGTAACATGTTATTTGCTGGCGGGAGATTGTATCAAAAAAGACTTTGCCCAAGGTCTTGAGTACAGCCTGAGGTTGGGACGTGTGAGGGTGGGATGCGTGGTTCAACTGTTTCAATAGTAATCCCTTCATTGTGCAGTGTTAACACCAACAAGGAGCTAGAACTCTTTTATTTGTGTCACATTAATGCTATTGAAAAAGTGCCCAGCAAGTTCTCTTTTTCTGTTTTCTGTTCTGTTTTTCAAATGGGAAAATAGTAATCATTGGCCAGTGTAAAAAATAATGTTATTTCTTTTATTACAGTCCGCTCTTTGTCACATGGAAAATTGGCCATGATCATCGACTACGAGGTTGTATAGGAACATTTACTGCTATGCGACTACATAAAGGTCTTAAAGAATATACTCTTTCCAGGTAAGAGCTACAGCAATGTCTTTTTCCCACAGGTAGCAGTGCTGTATGACAATATAATTCTATATACCGATTTAAAATATAGCCATACATTTAGTTCAAATGACATTTTTGTTGGCGGGGCTTATAATGCACATTAACTTTAAACGCTTATAAACCCCAACTGGCTAGAGGCAAGTCACCAGTTGGTCAAAATCCTTGTTCCCTCTCACCAGAATGCAGGGGAATGAATGAATGAATGAATGACAACTTTATTTAAGTCTCAGTCTTACTAGCTGAGCACAAGTGCTCTACTAATTGGGGAGACTAAAATATAAAGTAAAATGTATTCACCTAAGATTTAGTAAAATTAAGAAAATATTAAAGTATTAAAATTGAATCAACAAAATAATAATTTGTTGATAAATACTATCATAATATTATCACCTAATAGTTATTTAACAACTAACTACATACAGTGCTGGAAATAAATTTTCCTCTTTAACAGGACATGTGTCCTTTCAAATCTTCATTTTGGTTGGACATCTTCTCAATTTGACCGGACATTAATTTGCATGATTGATTAGCATAATTAATTAGCATAAGAAAATTTATTAGCATACTGTAAAGATTTTCAATACAAATCGTTCAAAACTGTATTTAAAATTTGATTTATTTATCACTTATGATGAACTAGATGACTTTATCTACTAGATGACTGTACCAATCTCTCCTGGTTATCTCCTGATTATATGTTCTTCAAGCAAACCTAGTTTTCTACACAGGAGCCCATCACTAGGAGTGTGCAACTTCCTCAATTATT